CTTTCTGAGGAAGCGTGTTCGCTTGTACCAGGTGAGGATAGGCTTGCCTTCTCTATCACTTGGGACATTGATGACACCGGAAACATCACCGGGCGGTGGATCGGCCGATCTGTGATCCATTCATGCTGCAAGCTATCATACGATGATGCGCAGGACATCATCGATGGAGGATTTGAGGTTGATGTTTCAGGGAAAACGGTACCTAAATTGCATGGGCAGTTTGAGTTAAAGGATGTTGTTGATTCTCTTATAAGCCTGCATGGGATCACCAAGAAGATGAGGGAGATCAGATTAAGAAATGGAGCATTTTGGATTGAGACTCCTAAGCTTGTCTTCTTGTTGGATGAGAGTGGGAATCCATATGACAGCTTACTTGGTGTGAGGAAGGAGTCAAGTTATCTTGTTGAGGAGTTGATGCTGTTGGCAAATAGATCAGTTGCAGAGGTCATATCCAAGGCTTTTCCAGACTGTGCTCTACTTCGCAGGCATGCTGAGCCTATGTCGATGAAGCTCAAAGAGTTCCAAGAATTTTGTAGGAAACGTGGACTCGAGTTGGATGCTTCGTCATCCGGCAAACTTCAGCTCGCACTACCCAAGATGAGACAGAAACTGAAGAATGATCCTGTGTTGCTTCAAATTCTTTTGGCACGTGCTGCAAGGACAATGCAATTAGCAGTCTATTTTTGCACAGGAGATTTGAGAGGCAGAGAAGATGAGTGGGCTCATTATGGACTGTCAATCCCACTCTACACACATTTCACTTCCCCATTGAGAAGATATCCTGACATTATTGTACATAGAACATTGGCTGCAGTGGTTGAAGCCGAAGAGGCTTATGCGGAGAAAAGGCTGAGTTGTGCTGCATCTGATTCAGGTGATGGGATTGGCAATGGATGTTTTACTGGTCTTTATTTTGATAAGGAGGCTGCAGAATCTGAGGAAGGTAGAGAAGCATTGTTGTCTGCTGCTGTGAGATGTGGAGTTCCTGCATCTGAAGTGGTATCTGAAGTTGCTGCATATTGCAATGAAAGAAAAAGATCTAGCAAGCATGTTGAGCAATCCGTAGAAAATGTTTATCTCTGGGCTTTGCTGAAGAACAAGAAGGTAATTTTATTTATTTTTTTCACTTTCATAATCGGTATTTTTTTTTCTGAAGAATAAGTGGTGAAGACGATTTTGATCCTAATATTGATTTATTTTTACTTACATCATTAGTATTTTTTATTTTTTTACTTACATAATCAGTATTTTTTTTGAATAAGTGGTATATTAGATAGAATTGAAGATTCAAAATATCATCTAACATATTTTATCATATCATTCCAATGTGTGAATCAATTGTTGTCTTTTGCACTTCATTCTTTCTTAACAGATTTTTACTTTCCATTGTACGGTCCCATCATCATCATCATCATCATCATCATCATATAACTGTTTCACTGTAAGATTCCCACGGTGATCAGGATCAATTTGTTGATCCAAAAAATAACTCAAAACTCAAAACATACATATAAACTTTAATATATATATATATATATATATATATATATATATATATATATATATATATTAAGGATATCATATGTTATGATACTCTTATACCTAATTATTCCATAAGATATCTCACTTTCAAAAATGAGAAATGTATAATAGATTAAAAAAATCTGAAAAAAATTATATCGACCAATATCTTTCTATATTATAAAATTAAATAGTTGTAACATTGCAAATATATTATGATTATACAAAAGATATATAACTTTTTGCAGAGATATATAACCTCATCATATTATGATTAATTTGTTGTCATAGATAAAAAACAATGATCATACTTGATTGTTTTCATTGGCATTTTGGGTTGAGCATGAGAAGTTGATCTTTATATTATCATTATTTTTTTGCAGGTGATGTTTTCCGATGCCAGGGTTCTAAGAGTAGGATCAACTTTCATGACAGTCTACATAAACAAATTTGCTGTAAGATCTTAGCATCTTGATATAAATTTACACTTTTACTGCTATATTAATCTCATGGATTCTTTTTCTTTTTTCATAGATCGAGAGAAGGATATATTTTGGTGAAGTTGAAGGATTGACTGTCGAATGGAGTAAAACTACTGGTACATTGGTTCTTAATGCACTGAAGACTAAACCCTCACAGAGAAGTTATCTTTCTGAGAAGCGTCGCGTGATTGAAGATGTAGTGTTGATGATGAGCCACTGCCAAATAGTTACACCCGAAGATCAAAATGAATACATCTCTACCGCTCCGAGTTGTTGTAATAAAGAAGGCAATGTAACTGCGACTGCTCCCCTATGCTTTCCTTTGGTGATTCAAGTTTTATCCACCATTCCTATGGCTGTTCATGCTGTTGGAGGAAGAAAAGGTCGTGTACACATCGTGGCAAGACTATATATGCACTGATGATTTAGAGAAGGTTAGAAGAAGAAGAAGTTTCCAAGTAGAGGTATCAATTATGTTCACAAGTACGAGCACGAGGAATAAATGCAAATTAAGGTTTTTTTTATTATTCGCAAACCCTAAACCTTAATCGTAAACCCTCAACACACAACCCACAACTCTAAACCCTTAACCATCGATACTAAACCTCAAACCCTATATCCTAAACCCTAAACCCTCAAACCTAAACCCTAAACTCTTAATTCTAAATAGTAAACCATCAATCCTAAACCTTAAACCCTCAACCCTAAACCATAAACGCTAAGCCATCAATTCTAAATCCTAAACCCTAAACTCATAACCTTAAACCCTATAATTTGAACCCTCAACACTAAATCCTATACCCTAAACCCTCAACTTAGAAACCCAAATCCTCAACCTTAAACATTAAACCCTAAACTTTAAACCTTAGACCCTAAGCCCTAAACCTAAAACCCCCAACCCTTAACCCTATGTTGGGAAATCGAGGGTGACATTATATGCACAGCAAAATAATAGAAAACAAAAATTCCAGAATTTCTCATAGAAAAGAAGGTTTCATCGTCATGCGAAGATTGATGTATAAAAACCCACGAAACCGAAAACTGTATGTATAAAAAAGATGTATTACCCAAGGATATCATATATGCTTGAAAACCTATAGATCTATGGGAGAAGATGAAGGAGGTCAACTATCCTCATTTCTAGTAGTGATCCACATGGCAGGGGCTGCTGGCTGAGGAGGAGAGAGTGAGAGGAGAATAAGAGATGGCAGCTAAAATGAGAGGAGAATAAGAGATGGCAGCTAAAAAGGATTTATCCTATGGCTCTTTGGTTCCCTTATATTTATAGAGGTCATGTATCAACTTAACCCTAATGGATCCTACCCTATTGGGTATTGGATCTTCATCCAACTACCCTATTGGGTATTGGATCTTCATCCAACTACCCAAGCCTCTTATATTAGTGGATCTCTACCTAATAATCTCTAAACCCTAAATCATAAATCCTAAACCTTAAACTCTAACCCTCAACCCTAAACTCTAATTGTAAACCCTCAACCCACAACCCACAACACTCAACACATAACACTAAACCCTAAACCCTAAACACTTAATTGCAAACCATCAACCCTAAACTCTAAACCCTTAATCCCAAACGCTAAACCCCAAATCATAAACCCTTAACCCCAAACTTCAAACCCTAAACCCTCAATACTAAACCCTAAACCATAAACCCTCAACTCTCAATCCTCAATCCCAAGAGATAAACTATTTAACATAAAACCTAAACACTAAACTCTAAACCTTAAATCATCAACCCTAAACCCTAAACCTTAAACCCTCAACTCTAAACCCAAAACCCTACACCCTAAAACCCTAAACCCTATATGTGAAACCCTAAGCTGTACACCCTAAAATCCTAAACCCTAAATTCTATAAATTAAATTTTAATAAAAATAAATATATCATATATTATAAGACTATGATAAGTCAATATTTTGTTGTCATTGGTGCTAGAGCATTAAGGCTCGTGAGTAATTGTCCGCTTTGGATAAGCCCGTATAGTTTTTCCCGGTGAGCCCCAAAAGACACTTTTAAGGGTAAATGTGATGCTAGAGACCTATAAGTTCTTGATTCTTTTACTTTTCAATCAATATGAGACTAAATATTCTTATCATTGTCCCCCCGTAGGAGTCAAAGGCTCATGACCCTCCTTTTAGCATCATTCTAATAAGTTTATATTTTATCGTTATTAGTACAAGAACTCGCGAGTAACTATCCACTTTGAATTAACCTACATGATTTTGCCTTTTCGAGATGAGCCCCAAAATTGCTCCAAAATTGCTCTCGTGTGCTTTTTCTTTTATCTACTAACTCTTCGTGCATTTGATGAATGTATAATGGTCCAGTATAGATATTGAGGGTTCGATTGTTTATGGACTCATAATTTAGATAAGAAAAGATTTGGAACATCATCTAATATATTTTTAATAATATTATATAAAAACAATCATATTTAAGATATCAAATCTTTGTGCACAAGTGTTAATGTGACACAAATTTGGACTTAATTTTTCTGTCAACCTAATTTGGTCTTTCACAATGTTTATTTTTATTTTGGTAAGACTGAAAAAATTGAGTAATTAGAAAACTTGAGGATAAACTTTCAAAAACATCGTCCACCTTCTCAACCTTGAAGAAAAAATAAATGACTCAAATAATTTCACATATAAAAAATTTCTCTTACCATGTTATAAATATAACGAAGATATACACCAACAAAATAATCCAATAATTTATACAGATTGTAATGGGTAAAAGAGTTTGATATCATGCCTGCTGATCTTTTCTTTCGAGAAGCTGTTGTGATAGTCATGCGAACAATTCAACTCCATTGTCTGAGCATTTGGCTAAATTAGCTTTTCCACATAAATCAGTATCTGCAATGGATCCTTCTTGTAAACATACCTTTTTGTTCTTGCTCCCAATACAGAATCCAGTAAGAAGCCAATGGAAACAACCACATAACAAAATCACATCCACATGTAAAAAATATGATGAGTTGTGCAACGACAATAACACACTTGATTATTGCTTCTGATGAGATTCTCAATTCAGAATATTTAACATCTTGTTTCTCTCTTTCAGACTTCATAGCTAGAAGAATGATGCAAACTTGCTCGGTTCAAACAGCCTATGTAGATGACTCGATGGAATACAAATGGCATAAACATCTGTGTGAATAGAGCATCAGAGGTGTTATACTAGCTCAAAAAGAAAACAGCACAAGGACGAGATCGGTCGTTAAGCTTTTTACCGCTTAATATTATACAACATTGGAGCCGGGTAACCTCAGGTACCAGTATAAGCCAAAGCTCTAGCTGAAGTTCTTTTCTGTCAGTCAATGCTTGGCGAATTTATTCGTACAGCCTTTGTATCTCCGCACCAGGCATAGTTGACCAAGCATGGTAGGATCACAATACCATCAAGCCTGTTCCACTTTAAAGTTAGCAGGAAAAGCAAACACTACAAAGTAGCAAGGTATGCATTCGTATCTAAGCCCATACCATCATGTGAGACTCGAGCGACAAAGAGTCATCAGCAGATCTGGTTGCACCACCCAGCGATCTATGGAAAAGCAAGTGTGCCACAGACCGATCGATGGGATTTGTATCAGTCTCTATGTCCATATACGCTGTGGTTCTGCTAAAGACCAGAAACAATTTATCGGTTTAACCACAGAAAAGAAAGAGAATGACAACACACAAATGTATTCAGAAACAGTTTATTTTAGCTCAAACACATGCCCATGAATCTTTGTTTATATGATTCAAGAAGATAGCTTAGGTGAATACAATATATGAATGAGAAGGTAATTCTTTGATAACCTAGGTTTCTAGACTGTGTATCACGATATATGTCATGTTAGAACAGAGATAATTGAGTATACCCAGGGAAAAAAAAGTACATGCCTCATTATAATTAGTGGCTCTGTTTTGGTAGCATCAACAAAGCCTTGTTCCAATAATGAAAATATAATCAAATAAAAGAAAACCATACTTAATGATACCAAGCAATTATCCCTTATTGCAAGCACTAGAAAGCATGTAAGTTTGCAACAGAAATTAAGGCTAGTTGTTCATATTTGTAAGAGTATTATTGTTTATCTAGTATGGATGACCCTTTCACAAAGTTAAATGTATCCCGTTGAGATTTCTCCATGTTCCTCTGGTAGCCTCCCTGTGCTGGAGCAAGCAACCCCAGACCATCACCCAGGACAGTCCAAAATATGTAACAGAAATCTTCCTTTAGATCAAGAATGAAGAACTTGTGTTTTTAGTTAGGACCAGATACTCTAGTAATCTCTCCTTTATTTCCTGAAAACCACTTAAAGACATGATATGGATTTATTTTTTCCTCTCACAGTTGCATTTAATCAGAAAGGATGTACAAGATTCATTTTGAGGATCTTTGCATCATAAGGCAAAAACTAAATCATTTGGATCATAATGGCTAGGAATAGGTCAGGTCACGACCATTGAGTAGAAATAAACTAATCGAGAACCATACACACACATATATAGATATGAATGTATGTATTAGATTGAGGGGGAGCTATTAAGCTTCTAATATAAGTGTATCCTATAGCATCGACAAAATGGTATTATTGGAATTTATGGGAAGTTACCATAGTAGGAAAAGTTTGCACTCTTCCTACCACAGAGACCATAGTAATTGGCAACAGAGACCTTTGAAAATACTGTAGAAGCTCAGATCATAGGATGTTTGCACTCTGCAAACACCATTGCAAGTGAGCAGCAGCACACACTATAGCATATTGTTCTCCTCAAGAAAACCCACAAGCAGAAAAGAGATCATCCACTATCATCCGACTCACCCATGTGGCTCAAAAACACAAATGGCACCGAACTTGCTAGGCACGGGGACACTTAGTGAGAACATGGACAGTCATGAAATTGATAATGGTAGATACCACACCAACTGAACTGGATGAGCATATGAGAGCTAGTAGATAATGCTAGGTAACAAGGAATCCAGAGAAAGAATTTTGAGCCAAGGTAATTACAGACTCAATGTCTTGTGCATTGGTTAAGCATCAAGCTGGATCTTTTTATCATGCAATACATTGAGACTTCCAATAAAGAAAGTGCACTAGAAACTGCATGTGAACATGCAAATTCTTCAGAATAAAACAGGTTAATTGCATTGTTATTTGCATTATCATCATTATCATGGATGTGTCCATACAAGTGCACATGGTCGGAGTTCTAAATTACAACAGTGACACTATGCATACATTATAAGACTGAATCAATGTACATGTTACAGACTACATACGATGAATCTATGCTGCATGCTTCTTCTATGAGATTCAATAAGAAAATTCATCGTTTCCCCTTCTAATAAAATTACTCTTGTAGCACATACTATACTCACCAGCTGAAAAGCACTTGATCAACAATAATGCAGTATGTTTGTCTAAAATAGTGTCACTGCTTTGTGCAAAATAATAAACTGTTATTTTGGCAGACAACTGCAGAAGAAGTAACTGAATGGTCATAAAAATTTTAGTATGCAGGGAAATTTAAGCACACAAAAAAAAAAAAATCAAAATATCTCACTGCACATTCAACTAAAATTCTTCTGAAAACAGAAAAAGGAATTTCAAAGAACTCATATAGTTATATATATTTAAGCTTACTTTCTTGATCTTCCTGTACCATTCACTCCTCTTGTACGCTCTAGGTGTTCATGGTTTGCAGCAGCAAAACTGTGTCTCTGTTCTGCACTCCTAGCCAATCGGTATAAACTGTCTCTTATACATAGTTTCGTTCTAAGATTCAACTGCAATCAAAATAACTGATATCATTTTAATGTATATGAAGTTCCCATTTTAGCCACTTATAAAAGAACATTGTTCGGTGCAAGAAAAAAAAGAAAGAAAATTCTTGAGACATCCGCATGACATGGCATACAGCTTATCAGTGAATAAGAGAGTGTCCTCTGATCTCACAATAGCAATAATGAATATCCATGTAAGATGCTCCTTTTCATATATAGCATGCAAGATAATGCACAGGGTGTTGAACTTTTGATACAAAAAAGGAGATTAAAATTGATGCATATGTCAGGTAATGAGTATAACAAGGCACACAAGCATATAAAGCAAATAGAGTGGTCCAATTGTAACAATCAGCAATATACCTGACCTATGACATCCTGAAACTGATGAAAGCTAATAGCTTTGCCAGAAATATCATCAGACACAACCAATGGCATCGATGAGCTTTTCCCCACTGTAGAGTCCATATCAGTTGTGTATAGCTCTAAACTGACGTTCCCTCTCTCACTACCAATTTCTTGTTCAAAATTATCATGCTGCTTATCAATTAAGCTAGCCAGCTCAGATGGTCCTGTGGTTGGTTTTTCTACCATTTCTTTCAGCTGCATGACTGGATCCTTTGACAAATCTTGTAAATTTCCCATGCCATGGGAAGTATCACTTATAACATTAGCTGAGATTTTGAAGGAAGAGGAAGAATTTTGTGTGCTTTCAGTTATACCACTTGATGTCGTTGACAACAAAAGATCCTGGTACAGAAGTTTATCCTCAATATGAGAATCAGGTTTGAGGACATGCATACAACTCGAGTCAGATTTCATAAAAAAGTTTTCCTTTGGAAGCAGCTGAGAAGGGCAAGGTTCAAGGCCTGTAAAGAAACAGCAATCTTATTTCATATTGACCAATTATTACATGTAGATAGGCAAAGAAAGATAACTCGGACAGATCAAATCTCACCTTTTCCCTCTACTTCAGATAAGTATTGCCCATAAATCTGCTGCATTTGGATATTGAGATGTGGCTGCTCAAACAATAAAAGAGGAGAGGTCAAATAGTATCCACATAATACTTCCTCTTTTGAATCTACTTAATCATTATCAGTGTAAATCCAAACAGATGTGTTAAACAAGGAGAAGAGCAAAGAAGCTAAGAAAACACATGATGTGAGTTGTTCCAGTTCAAGATTTCCAAGTAACATGATCTTCCAAATAAACTTACTTTTAACTATTAAACCAATGGGTTAGGTTAAATGGACTAACAAAGGAATGATGTCAATTTATCAAGAACAACTATCAAGTCCTATTTCAACCTTCTATTTTCTGAATTCAAAACATCCAGCTAACTAACTCTGGAAAACTTTAAATAAGAGAACAAATATAAAAAGAAAACTCAACAGTAGGAAGAAAACACAAACATTAACCCAGTTACCTCACATTCACCCAAGTTATTCACGTTGGCAAATTCTGTAAGAGCTGAATTTGTCTCACCGTTTCCACCACCATCAAATGCCTGCTTGGATAACTTACAAAATTTAAAAAGTCTTAAAGGATAATCATTAAATTATACCACTCATGCACATAAACAGAAAACAGACAATGTGGATCTTTCTAATAAACCTGTTTTGTTCTTGTATCCAACTGGCAGGAACGGTGGGTTAGACATGATTGATTATGGTCATTAACCTCCAATGTACTGCCTCCAGGCAAGGATCTGATGTTTGCACAATATGTTGATGCATCATTAAATTCTCTGAACTCTGAAGTAGAAGCTTCAAAGCCTGAAGTGAAATTATCGTCTGGACCAAAAATTCCATTTGAAGAAGATGAAATCCATGACAGCCCATCTGTATTGCTTGATTGCCCAAACGTAGGATCACAGTTTCTCCAAAAGAAACAGAACAAAATGAAAAACAATGGTAACTCCAACAAAATTATTCCTTAAAGCTTAGATTTCAAAGATCTGACCTACCTGAACATTGTATCGATGTCCTCAAAATTGCTCATATCAGACCAGTCATAATACAGAAGATCATTTTCTTGAACATTATCATTCTCCAAAAAAGTGAGTTTAGAATTAGCTGAAGCATTATTATCAAATAAAAATTGGCAGATGTTGGCCTCCTCTGCAGCACCCATATTTGCACGAATAGGATTGCTTGTGCTGCATGTGTTGCTTTCTGAACCTATGTTATATTGTTTGAAGCAGTTGTCAGGCATTTGACCATTCCAAGGAACACCTTTAGTCTTGGAGCTGCCTGCACTGTTTCCAGCAACAAGGAAATCATCTACAGCTAGAGGCTCTTCCACCAGTCTACTGCCTTGGTAGGCCACTCTATAGTCATGGTTTTCACCAACTTTACCAAAAACAGTGTCTTCAATCTGAGTAGTCAATGAAAAGCCATATTTAACATTACAACTTATGGCTATAATCTGTAGATGAGGTTCAAAGTTCTATGACAGCAGAAGATAATAATTATTAAATCTCAAACAGAGTGCACCATGATTCATGGATGATGTATTTTGGCTTGGTTCAAAAGAAACCAAAGGACAATTTCTATCTAATGTCAACTAACAAATTTGGTTTCTCATTTCATGAAAGACATTACAAAGCAACATATTGCCACTTTCCATACTTTGTTTTTTCCTTAAGAAAAATGCCTAAAATGATTTCACCCTTACTGATTTCTCCATTGTGAAGAGCACCATGAGAGAAATCAGAGAACCTTGAAAGATCAGGCAGTTGAAAATTTCTTACATGCCTCCCACAATCCTTTCTTTGAATGTTTGGAGTATGTTTAGCATAGTGCTGTGTTTCGCTTGATGGCACATGAGAAACAAAGCCATCCTTGAAAATGATGGTACAAGTGAAGCTGCTTCTGGAGAGATGTTGGCACTAATCCTTCATGGTTGAATTCCTTGAGTTTTATTTTGGGGTCTTTAAATTACAATTAGTTTGAAAGAGATTGTTGCACTTCCTCAAGATAATCTCTAAGAACATAATTTATGAAAGAAATGGCCAGGAGAACCAGAACAATGCAGCGAACCAATGCAGTTCAGGTAGAATGCCCACTGCAACCATGGTGGAATGCATGGTTGAGGAAGTTTAAAAGAGCCCTTTAAACTACAACGAGTCTTTGACCTCCATACAGATGTAGGACACTCTACCCAGTGTTTCAGAATTCTCTATTACGTCTATTATTCAATCAATAGGATTTTGTCTTATTACCCTGTATGCAGTTTTCTTGTTTATTTCCTGGCCAGTGCCCAGACCACCAACAGCAGGGATTGTGTTCCCAAAGTTTGTACCCCACAAGATTTAAACGTCAATCGAAACATAGCCACTTTCTTCAGACAATTAGGAAATTGTCATCATGATAGCTTCCTGGCCATCATTTACTGCCTAATAAACTACAGTCTCACCTCTGTACCTAGGAAATCATCGTCACACATTATTGCATCGAATATTCTGAATAAACCATAGACCTAATAGTAGAGTCTGCTTAAAAAAGGTGATTCTTTCACTTATTACTACTACAAATACTACCAAGAAAAACAATAAATAGCAAATCGCAAGAAAATGAAAGAGGAAATGAACAAAAGACGGCTTCGAAAAGATTCCAAAGAAGGAACTTTATACTAAATTTCGAGCGGAAGCAAACATACGTCGCGATCGCTCCAATCTGCCATCTCTCAAAGAATCAAACCTGATCCTGCTTGACAAACGAAAACAACAAACAACTCATCCTAGACCCACCAAATCAACAAAGGAAGACAAGATTTACACCATCAAAGAGAAACCCGAACCTCAGGACGAATACCCTCGCGGCCGATCTCAAGAACCAGGAATTACCCACCGAAAGAAGAAGCACCGGAACCAGAATCCGTCACCCCAGATCGAGGCTGAAGCGTGATTGGAATCGCCCCCCCTCTCTCTCCCTCTCTCTCTCGCTCTCGCTCTCTCCAGAGAGTTCTTCTCCCCTCGTCGGCTTCTCAAATTGCTTTGCGGCACAACACGAAGCGAAAAATTAGGCGACTATTTTCTTTTATCTTCATATAAAAAAAAATAAGCTCCGTAAAATGAGTACATCTGTGGGTCCCGCATAGTACACATGGCGGATGCACAGGAGCCCCGTGGGGCCCGCCGTGCCGCAGCTCGTGGCTCAGACGAAGCGTTGCGGGATCCGATCCGTCCTCGGTCGCCCATTGGCGCAGGGCGCCCCTCCCACCGCCACGTGCCCCCCCCCAATCCACCGCCTCTCTTAGCGCAGGTTGCGGCTTGGGCCGCTACAATAATAATTGTACGTAACGGTATCGGTGCCGCGAACCATAAAATAATAGCTCCGTAATTTTATTTTTTGAATGATACAGAAAAAAAACTGTAGTAATATAAACACAACATATGACGTATAACAGCTATATTTTATTAGCTTAACGATGCATGCATCGATGAAAAGCTTCGTGCAGCGGATCATTACTGATATGATTAAAATAACGGTACGTTGTAACGGTTCGGGGAGGGTGCGTTGAACCGTCCGATGTGTCCGTTAATTCGTGACCGGATGACCGGTCTCGAACTCGTGGTGGAGGTGGCTCGCGGGCGGAGAGTTGCGGTGGAGTGGCGGAGGAGCGCAGGTTATCGTGTTACAGCGTGGTCCGTGGTTGGCTTTCGCTTGGTGTGGGCCCCGCTTCAAGGCGACCCAAGTGAGGACACGGAGTGCCTGCGGTGCAATTAGTGGAGGGATATGTGACGCGACACGGAGAACATATGCAATGGAAGAGTGGGGGGTGAGATATGAGACAAGATGGTGGGCGTGGCCTAACAGACCACCAACTCGAACCTAATATTGGGGATGGCCATGCAATCCCTCGTTTCTCTTTCTATATATGTAAGCATTATATTAGAATAAAATGAAGAATAAAACAAAAGATTACTCCATCATAAATCACAAGTCTGAAAAATCGATCCGAATATGTTAGCATATTTTAATATAGAATAATTAATTTAAAGGTCTTCGAGAAGAGCTTTTGTAGGATTATTGACAACCAATATGATTTATAGAAATTGTGCACTATTTCTTATATAAGGTTGATGTAAGGGCATGGTGTCCCTACTAATGTTGGTGTCATAAACTTCAGCCTGATGTACAAGTGGAAGAGAAATAGACAGAAATGATGAAGAAATTGATTTGCCATGTAAAAGTTAGCATGTTCTCGTTCTACTCTTATGCTGTTCATGAGCCTAAAATTAGTGTGCTATATAACATAAGGCAGGCAGTAGGGGTGTTGGAGTGCTTGAATTGTCATCTAGAAGGGATGTGCACCATAAAGGAGTGATTAGGATTAGAGAGAGAAAGGGAACTTCAAATTATCCTTCACTCTTTCCATCTTTTCCCCCTTTTTTTTCTCTTTCCATTTCAATTCAAGTTCTAATTGATTCTTTGATTGTCTTATTTGGGTTTAATGGATGGTTTAATATTGTAATTATTTAGGCATTTTGATCTTATATTTAAGAATATTTAGATCCTACTTTAAGGTATATGAAATCCTCGAAATCTATTTTACTTCCAAACTCTTGTAAAAGGCTCCTTCATTTTTTTCTCGCTAATCTTTTTCCTCTTTAATTAATCGTACTCTTGATACTCATGGGGAAGAGATATCGTGATCATCGTATCTTGAGTTTTTTTTTTTCTTTGAACGGAGGAGAATAAGCATTAGAACAGCTTCGGCGGTTTCGGATTTTTATTTTTAAGTTCTCATTTTAATTCAAAATTTAGAATTTCTTAGTCTTTTTTAATCAAAATTCGATTAGAATTATTTTCCTGTGTTGGCTCTAACACAATGTGGTAAACCATAAGGATAAACCATTGCCTACTTCTTTCTCTGTTGAAACTGAGTGCTGTCCTGTGTCCAAGATGAACTGAAATCATACAACTTCAGTTGCTCTGAAGTCATTGTCCAAATACCAAACACTAATCTGTGAGATATGCAAACCCTAAAAAAATATGATGCCAACAACTATAACAAGCATGATTTCAACTTAATCTTAACAAAACATCTTAGTTCACATCTCAAGTTTATATTTATGGATGCATTGGGCCTGACTTGTCAAGTAAACAATCCTAAGTTTTGGTTGTTTCATGGAGGAGGAATTCTCCAAAGCAAGCCTTTAGAATTCCATACCATCATTAGCTCTCTTCCAACTCCCTCACTCCATTTCTCAATCAAAAAGGAAATTATTGAAGAGTTAAGTTTAGAACCTCTTGTAGTTATTAAGCATTCAATCTATGTTTGTAAACCTGCTTGAGATGGGAAATAAATGGCTCTCAAACACACATGTAGCCTCTTGTTTCCTTAGCACATAGCTAAGGTAAAATATGTAGTTTATTTGACTCATAAAACAGTTATACATATCTAAGAAGACATGTTGTGATTGATACTTTCAAGAAAAATACAATGACAGTGAAACTAACATCAAGAGGAACAACACAATTCATTTCCATGGCTAAGGAAAAATATAATTCAAGTTAATCTCTTCTGGAACCTTTGACTCACTTCACCTTTGAGATGGTGCTCTCCACCACCCCCTGGGAAGACACATGGCCTATAATAGTGGCCCTCTTGGACTCCAGATCTATGCTGAAGGATTTGACTCCTGTAATATCATCAGTAAATAATCTTAAAATTATTGTTCTTCTTAATCTTTTATATGGGTATACATACCTTTCATTTTAGAATGTGCTTCCTGAGTTTGTCTGCACAGCCTTGACAGTGAATTGAAGCTCTCAGTACCACCTTCTGGCAGAAGTATAAAGAGGAAGGTAAGATGATTACTTTACTTCACCACATGAATAAGTTGACATTGAAACTGCATTTGTTTCAGATGATAAATTACAGACTTGATTGCATCCTGTGGTGTTCATGGAGATTGTTTAGCAGGTTGCAAAGTGCATGAAGGTTGACATGGAATTACTGCATTGGAACTCACTAGGACTTCCTGCAGGTCATCAGAGGGAGGCAGGGAGGGGACAGTGTGGGCACTTGTTGACCTTGATTGGTCCCCCGAAGGGCGGTCGACGGCCTCCGATCACCGGCAGGATCATAGTTCCAAGCGTCGAGAATGCCAACGCCGAAGACTGCAGTCGAGCAACGCGACCAACGTTTCGATCCCTTCATTTTTGCATACGCAAGAGAGAGAGAGAGAGAGAGAGAGAGAAGTGATAAGAGAATTGTAGGTAGAAGGATAGTAGAGCTTTCTTGTTCGATATATTTTTGTGTGTTGTTCACCTGACCTGTACCAGGAAGGCTTGTGAACACCCATACTAGTATTCCCAGAAACATAATATTATGACTTCGTTGACCCACTACAAAATTTAAAGATGTCCTGCTCTAATTCAAGATAATCTTTCACTTTCAGCCACCAAATCTAAGATTTTTCATCTGTATAGCTGAAGAGAATGGAGTGCATTCATTCCATCCGTAGTGTAAAGGGGACTTATCACCTGTGCCACATTGAGGTCAGAGTTTGATGGTGACAATCTTGTTCATGAACAATAGAAATTAAGACACCAAAAATATTAGAAATTGATTTTGATTCGATCACGAGAAATCACAAAAGCCAAATGCTACAACAAAAGCATTCAATATATATTAAGTTCTAATATCCAAATAGCTACACTAAGAACGTAGCGTAAAGAAACAGGAGATGGCCATCAGCAAACTGGAAGCTGATGGAAATTAAAAGAGTGCTACAAGCTGCATTCACATACATGGTAGAAGACTGAGGAACTCCACAATATATACAGTGGTCAGTATAACCAAAGTTGGTGTGACCCGACAGCGTCGCCGCCAAATCAATTCAAACCCACTCTGTTCATTGCTGATCTACTTTGGTCGGATGGCAACAGAAGAACAGATGGAAAGAAGTAAAAGCCATAAAGCAGGATTTACACATTACTATTTATATTTTTAGAACAAAGAGTGTCACCCAATGGCAAATACAGCAAGTTGAGTGAGGAGCAACAACAAACAGTACCAGGCATCAATCAATTTGGAAACTGACGTAGAGTTAGCAAGGGGAGCCCGTCCGGCGACCACAGGTGATACAGCATGGGTGTTGGGAGAGCTATGTTGCTCGTTTGTTGGCAGTGGATTCTCAGGCCTGTTATGTGGTGGCGAACTCAGAGGCATTCTCCTGGTGTTGTCGAGATCACGACCTGTATCATCCAGAAAATACAGTAACATAAACAAGAATGTATATGAGTCCTCTTCTTAGGACTCAGGGCATTTGCTCTGGAAAGGTAGAGAAGATAATATGAATGAGCACAGAAACTGAAAAGGATTGACATGTTGCATGATTCAAGCTGGCACCATGGCACTTATTTAGCATAAGCAAGCTGATCTGGCATCACAAGACTAATTTATAAATTAGACAGCAGGCGACAACTACTTATTTAGTCCAAAAAAGCTGCACATAAATCATCCGAACTAAAATAACTGTAACCAAATAGACCCACCCCCTTCCGGCAATGTCTTGAATGAAGATTGCAGGCAAGTGGTAAGCAATAGGTTCAACAGGATCCAAAGACCACAATAATCTCAGCAATAATCCTCACAACGTGATTGGCTAAATAAAAAGCAAAGGTATATGTAGCACTAAAAAGCATTTGTTTAGCACATAATTTGTTAATACAAGATGGACCAAATTCCTGAAGCATTACCATAATGATCTGTACTAACCTGAAGATAAAAAACCAACCATCATAGTATAGGTAAAAAAGGAGAAATGGTTTATCAACTTAAGTAAAGGGAACTGAGTGACTCACAATCTGATTGGGACCATCCCAGCTTCAAATTCTCTCTATCAAAGACCATATGATATCCTGTCATAAAATTCTCTGCATCCACAGAGTGAACTCTCTTAGCTGAGAAAACACAGAAGAAAATAAGTGAGAATGAAATGGAAAATTGGATCAAGTGTTCCAGTTGAAGAATGCTCACGCCCTATTGTGCCAAGAGTTTCTTGAGATGACTGTAGAGCTAAGCAAAATGCAGTAAGTTCTCCCTGTTAAAAGAAAGAGCAAAATCATCATATCCTCTCTAATCATAGGTATGTTTTAACCTGTATCCTGAAGCTGAAATAAAGGCTCGTACGCAGAGGAATTTCATTATGCCTCCTCGAGTTTACAAATTATATTTGCAACAAAGATCCAACTACTTAACATAGGGCACTGACAACAGCAAATAGCAATACAAATAGTTGTGAGGCAATAAATGTTATATATTCACAGATGTGCCTAGAGTTCTTATAGTTGACAATGAGACTGGTTACAAGGTAATATTTTACAAAATGGGAAACAAAAAAAATCACTAATTATTGTTGCAGCATCACTTCTCAAACAAAATTGACCAAGTTTTAAGTGTAATCAATCAAGTGACATTAATGGATCATACCCACTATTTTGATGATCTAAGAAAGTTGTATGCTCTCATTCAGAAATTTAATAAATTTAACCAAAAAAACAAAATTTATGGTTTATATCACTAGTATTCTTTACAAATCATTTGCAGAAAATAATTGATTAGCTGTCAAAACTTCATTTCGTCTACATGATCTAGGCCAGTTTTCACTCAAAGGATACATTACAAAGAAGTATAGAACAACAGGACAACAACTTTTTAGGTTGCAAGTATGCTATCGGATAAACCTTCTGTTCACATAATCCCAGACATTAAAGAATCATAGCACCAAGCATAGCTTCTGCTCCAAGTACCTTTTAGTTGATAGTAAAATTATGGTATCAAGTCAACAAAGAATGAGCAGTAAATATCCTAAATTTCGTAAGAGACTTGCTGGCCCTTACTCCACTTTGTTGTCTTACGGACAAGATGATTTCAGCCACATCAGTTAAATTGAAGCAGACAGTGACTAACTAAAGCAAAACAAGAATGAAGGGAGTTTACATCATACAAATTTAAAGATTGCAAAGTTCTCAAAACATAGAAAGGCACCCCCTTATTCAAGCAAATTATTGTTGCTCAACTTACAAAAGCACATAAATATTGTACATCAATACAAAGCATATTATACTAGAACTAGAAAATAATAGTAAAACAACATTTGCTCCAGGATAGAATATAGATGTTCAAACACGTTATGATGATGAACAACTCTACTGGAAGAAGGAAATAATAGCAAATAACACTTGTTCCAGGATTTAATATAGATGTTCAAACACATTATGATGATGAACAATCAAATAGTACTTCAGACACAATTGGGCACCTCATTATCGTAGACAAGAAAAATAGGATTCACAGCTGTGAAGCTCTTGTTTCCACCAAATATCAATTTAACTGTTGGCACAGCAGGCATCCCAAGAGGGCTGTTACCACAAATAGCAGAACTGAGTAGAGAGAACAAAATCAAGACAGCTAATGTGCAAAGTGATGCCCTTGTTAAAGAGATTCACCTGGCTTCATAACAGTATTCCCATGGAGATTCATTATCAGTTGCGAGCCTTGAAACATTAACTTGTGTGTCAAACTACCCACACCAGAACAAGATTAGCGTGAAGACAAAACATCTGATAGCATAGGCAAAAAATCAACAAAGTACCTCCATAGTGACTCTCTTATAAACGTTATCAGGAAGAAACGTGAAAGACGACCCACTGTCAACTAGTGCATGAAAGCTAGTTTTCCCAGGACATTGAGATCCAATACACAAACTCTCCACCGCAATGATATAAGTGATGCTGAAACAAAGGTCATACTAAAATAATTACTAGAAAAACAACCATTATTAATGCAAGAACAAAAAAAAGGAATTTTTAAAGTAAGAGAAAAGATTCAATTTGTTCATCTAAAATTATAAAATGAAACCTATGAATACCTTCAATTATCAAAATTAATAAGTTTATTATATTCCTCCACATTACCTATTAGTGAACATACAAGTTCATTTTATAAATTTTTCAATGCTTCCTTTCAACAATTTTGGACATATGATTTAATGCCTGGAATGAATGATCTGGAGCAAACAAAGCCCATAATTAACTCCCTGATCAACATCTAAAATTAGTTCTCTCTTGGAAAGTGTAGACAGTTTTTCTTTTTGGTGTTGGTGCTAGTCTGAAAAAGATATGTCCAAATGATAGTGTACAGCAAAATAAAGAAAGAATCTAGACATTTGCAAGCAACAAACTTTTAGCCTAATAACAGATGATGGATCATGCCCTAGAAACTCAATAATTTGAGTTAATGTATCATTCAACAAAAGAACTTACTATTTTCCATCCAAAGGAACAAATGGTGTAGACTGCTGGCTGGATAGACCTTCATCTCCAAATAAAAGTCTCCCAGAATTATCATCTCGAAAGCACAATGAGAAAGAATTTTGTATCAATCCATTTCTTGCAAGGAAGCTTGGAACCGAAATGTCTCCAAATCCCAAACCAAGAAGGCCATCAGGAGCAATTCCATCCAGATAACCACCACTCTGTTTCCTACCACAACTGAGTCAAAAGCACAAAAAATCTTAAGCATAAAAATCTTGTAAACGAAAGAGTTTATATAAAACACAATTAGCCACTCAACTAGTAATTATATGAATCCTAAAAAATCAAACCCACCCAATGATGACTGAAGCCTGAACAGATGCACGATCCTCAGTGGATGCCAAGTGCAATATATCCTCAACCAACAAGCCCGAACTGGATGTATTTTCTGAGTAGTATTTGATATTGTACGGGCAATGCTGCTTTAAGTTGCCACAACTTGAACGCAAACTACATAGCTCATGACTGCAGGAGAGATATCTGCTGGTTCTTGACTCAGCTGGATTATACAAGCCAAGATCTTTATCCTGCATAATAGATGCTCCATATACCAGGGAGCACCTGCCAATCAATCATTGGTAATAAGTGCTAAACCTGCTGCCAAATGTAAGCAGAATATCCCTTTGCTTTTTGTCTACGACAGAAAAATTACTAATGGACATTTTTTATGTCACTATTTTCTACTGAAGGTCACATCTAAACCAACAATATGCTTACACACTAGAGAATCACACAAGTGAACTAACAGTCTTAGCGGCGATTAATAGGCCTTCACAAAATCAGGACCCATAAAATCAAGACCCTCTAATTGAATAAAGCAATAAAACTAAAGAGAGATTTGAAATGTGCATCTCTTGAAGAAAATGCTTCACCGATGAAGAGTCACTTTAATTTGTTTGTTACAGAAGTAAATAATTGAAAGAATGACTCCTTTTTCTTATATTTTCTGAAGTGGAAAAGTACATCATCCCAGATGACTATTGCCTTAATCTTGGAGAAATGGGTCACGAAGAAGACAGACAAGAAAGGGAAACAAACTGCACATTGAGCTACTTAAATTTGTGAAGTCATATCCAATAATTCCATGGGTTTCAGATAGCAATCCTAGCTCCCTTTTGTTGTTAAGTGGATTTCTTCCTATTATATTTGCGAATAGGGAATATTTTAACAGCCAATCCCCGTCTGCCAACTAGTCACCCTAGAGTGCTAACATGGAAAAAAAAAGGCTCAATCATCCTCCACTAGGTAGTGACATGGGAGTTGGTTACAATCTGTCGGCCCCCGTGGACAACAATCCACGGGACGTCATTTGAAATGACCCCGTCGGCCCTCGTGGACTGAGGTTGTTCGGGCCTATCCCTCCCCCTCTGTCGGTCTCCGTGGACAACAGTCCTCTAGAGGTCATTCGGGATTGTCACCCCCATGGACAAAACACCAAGGAGGGGACATTGAGACTGTTATGAAGGATCCTCTCAATCGGTTAGGTATAAAAGCCGACCCTTGGCGCCAGCCCAAGGGTCAGACCTCTTTTTCCAAAAACCTCTCGCACTCCACACAACCTCCTGAACTAACTTGAGCGTCGGAGGGTCAGGTTAGGAAACTCCTCTCGATGCTAACCTTTGTGTAGGAACCCACCAAGAAGACAGATGCCACCTCGGCCAGACCTCAGGATTGTGCTTCGAAAGGTCAGGATTACATGAAGACCACCTCAGCCACGCCAAGACAGCCACGAGGGTTCCTTGGACGTCTCTATGCCTTCGGGTCAAGACCAAGCCGGGTTGATTCATCCGTCGATGGCATTTCCCCCCAACATTTGGTAAGGTTGAATTAAATAGATTTGCAATGATTTTTAAATCTGCTACAAATGGGTGCATTTCTTTTGCACAGTTAAACCCTAGAGTAACTCTTATGTTAATTCCTGATGCATATGCTTAAACAATAAAAGAAAAATGCATATGGTTGTCAAATTCTAATTGATCAGAATGAACTGATGGTTGCTTCCTGGCTCTCCATCATTCTTGATGTGCTCCATTTCTTTATATGACCTATTCCTCATTTATATGGCCTAATTATCATCCCAGGAAGGAAAATAGGCCATCACACATGAAAGTATTGATGAAAGCATGCCTTGATTGGTGCTTTAGATAATAAAATGAAATAAGGATCATGTGTTAAAGCATAATATCTTAGACAAATTGAACAAGAAATCAGGTGGAGATGGATCAAAGTAAGCAAAGAAATAGAAAGAAGATAAGAATCATGTTCATAGATCAAAAGGCAAATTTGATGATGCATATAAAGAAACCCAAGATTATGGCAAGTCTTTCATGACAATTGACAACCTAAAGTCAAAGCAGATATTTTGCATACCAAACTGCCATGATAACCAGACAAAGGAGCACATTGTATGCAATCACATGGGATCCAAAGCAAGTCACTTCCCGCATCCAATGCTACAAGGAAGGAAACATTAGGAGTCCCAATATTGATCCATGTGTAATGTAGCCTGTCATCCAAAAGAAATATCAATTATTCCTGGTGTTAATTCAATGCAAGTGTTATTTTAGAGCAATATGACTTCAGTTAATAGTGACAAAACATTAAACTTCACAGAAAAACGATCATCAACAAATGCTGATTAGTTGTGATAATAAAATGCACGAAATGAAGTACTTCACTAAATGATGTCGCCATAAATGATGCTCAACAAAGAAGAACCATTGTGAATCTAAACAAACACAAGAATTTAATTAGAAACATGAAGGCTACAATCTACATCTATGTTGTTGTGCAGCTGGAACTCATATTTTCCAATCATCCATTGGTATTTATAAGGATACTGGCAAGAACGGGCCCGTTTAAGGGGTGACAACATGGTTGTGGGTATATGCCATGATACAAGAGAAGCTGACAATGCTTGGTGAATCCTCCTAATCAAGTACAAGTACGAAGAACACTCAGAGGATGTCCTTTCTTTCCTTTTCTGTCCTCTTTTACAAATCGAAGAAACCAAAATGTTCGAGAGGGAGGAGCGAGAAAGATCCTAAAATCAACGAGTTAACTCACCATCCGAAGTCATTGCCAAGCGACACCGCCTCGCTGCCCTCGGAGGGGAACAACATCTTGTACCGAGCCCCGAGCCGCCGGATATCGCTCCTAGCCAGCATCCGGTAGTACTCCTCGCTCCGGCGGACCGGAAACCGGCCGCAGCCGCCTCGGGACGCCGCTACCGTCCGTGCCTCGTCCGAGAACCTGTGGACGAGCTCCGAGGAGAGCCCGAAGGAGCGGGCGCCCCACGCCAAGCAGCTCGCGACGGCCAAAGAGATCAAGAACGACGTTTTCTCCATGGATGCCACGTAGATCTGAAGTTAGGAGACAGAATGGGGCCAAATCTAGGGTTTCCGGGGACCGGGAGAACGGCGGCCGGCGGCGGGAGCGAACATGGAGCAGATCTGAGGCGAAGAAGACGCGATCTCGAGGGGTTGGGGCAGAGTGAGAATGCAGGGGGGAGAAGAGATCTAGGGTTTCGATCGAGGGGACTGCGGCCAGCTTTGGCCTCTGGGAGTTGGGAGTCGGGAGTTTGGGAGATGGAAAGGGGAGCAGGTGACCTGAAGCAGCTGCTGCTGCGAGTTGCAGGTGTGATTTCTTTTGGGATTTTGTAGGAAAACCCTTGAAGGTTCTAAATTTCAATGAAGCCCCGCAAAAACTAGACGTTGGACTGTGAAACTTTTTCGATTAGGTCCCCACATAGTTTCATAATATCTTATACGAAAATATGCTTATATATACACATCAAAATCTAATTATTTACATATATGCTATTATTATTATTATTGATCCTTATCATCTATTTTTGAGTTGAAATTTTTAAGTTAAACTCAGTTTGATTGAGGAGTTGAATAAAAAATAATATTATACTTTTTAAATTGAGATGAAATTTTAATTTGGTTTGGATGGTTTTTTGCAATCTCATCAATTATTTTCAAAAATATTATTATCAGAAATTTCTCCTTCCAAATAACAAGGATTAAGTTTAATAAAATATTCATGAATTAAAAATGTATAAAGTTCATATTTGTATGTATCTTCTTTTTTTATTTTCAATGCAAATAATTTTTTGCACCTCATTAATAAAAAACATATTTAAATTACATATAAACAGAAAAAAAAATCAAAACTTAGATTCTTATCAAATACAATATTTTGTAAAGTTTTACTTATAGACAACATCTTATCCATAAATATGAGCCAAAATGGAAGGAAAAAAGAAAGATTTAACCACTTCTGACATAAATATTTAGATTAATTTTAGTTTGAGTTGTGGTCAAAATGGATGAGCTACTTAATTAGTGTGTTTGGAAATTATGATTTAAGAAAGATAACACATAATTGGTCAGTTATGTCCATATATAAATAAGAATTTGTGTTGGTTAATTAACTGAATATGATAAATTAGATAACACCCATACTGATGTTTAATGCAACAATCATATTCTAATATACCTGCATATTTAGTGAGAGAATCTTTGAGAATTTTGTGAATAAAATAAGACTATGAAAAATTTATATGTAATTTTTATATGATTGAAATTTACATCTAAACCCATATTTATATATTTAAAAAACAATTTAAATAGTTAAGAATAATCAATCTCATTATGAGATTTACAGAAATCATTAGCAAATAAGATTAAGGATTAGGGATATTAAATCCCTCTTATATTAATGAAATCCCATAAAAAGATTACATCCTTGAGATCATTCAAACAGCAAGAAGACCCATTCTCAAACTTTCATCCGAGTCTAAATCTTACCAACACCTGCATCAGGTTTTTCTTTCTCGCTTTTGTGCTTTTTGATGTAGTTGACGTATAATTTAGTCTGTCATTATCTCTGGCATGGCATCATTCTCTGAGAAAGACATGTATAATGTTCTTGAGACAACAACAATCCATTTGTCCAAGAAAGAACTGCTCCACTGTCAGCATACTCTGCCATCTCGAATGGCTCCTCCTGTTCTTGCAATCTGCATGGGATTCACTGTGGAGGTGTCGCCAATCCAAATGATGAGCGCTTAGAACAGAACAATGGTGGAGGTTCGGTCTCATGCGTTTGACACCTGCCCGTTGACCGTGATTACTGGCCTGGAGTTGCATGAAAAGAAGAGCTCTGTTCATGGAGGCCATCATCCATTTTCATCTATCATTCAAGCTAACACCAAACAGATAATTGCCATCAGCTTCAATTAGGTTTAGTGGCTGCGTCAGTGAGTTGTTCTCTTCTTGCTCTGTGCACTCGGTTCCATCTGGGTTCTTAAAGGGTGAACATTTTCACATCAAGAAACACCAGATAATATTTCTTGAAAAGACTTGACTAAGATTATCAAACACAATAATTTATCAAAAATTATTAAGAAAAAAAAGAGAGAAAGGATTAAAGACTCTATTTATAGGGCCCAAGAATTGTATCAAATGGTGCTTTCAAATAGTATATTCCAAGCAACATATCTTTTGCACTAGGATGGTTATTATACCTATCAAAAAATGGTTTTCATAAAATTTTGTGCTTTCATAAAATCTCCAACAATATCAAGACAAACATGGTTTCCAGGTCTGTGTGGATTCCATGGAGAATGCAAATGTTTAAATGTGCATAATAGCTAATAAAAAGAGTTTAATACTTACAATAAGACTCAACTCCTGATCTTTTTAACTGCACTTGAAATGTTGGAGACTGAAAAAAAGAGTTGCTGGTGTAGCATAACATAGGAGAAAGAGAACAGTTATGAACTTATTCCACTCAACATTTGGGTAATACACAAAATAGCAAAAAGCAGTAGATTTTTGGCTACAAGAAAGCCAGGCTGAAGGGTTCTTCCCAAGTGTCACAACAACTGTACTCATTTTGAGAATTCCTCTGCTGGAGTGGACTTTGTTCCCTGAGACAAAACCTTCCTTGCACACATTTGCAGCATGGAAGAGTTTGTAGCACTTCTATTTGGACACCCAGCTACAGTTAGCAGCTGAAGAAAGTTCCTGATCTTGACCAGATAGCTCCAGAAGCCACATTGATCACCCTGATGCTTAAAGTACAAGTTTCAATCTGCAAAGTACATCAAAGACGGTTAAAGAAGTATTAATCCTCAAGAGTTGACAGTTGTCTCTGAGTGCAAGTGGTTGGAGGTCTTCAAAAGTAGGTCAGTCATGAATTTGGTGAATAAAAATTTACAGAAGCTCCTAGTGTACAATTCAGATTGAACATTATTAAGGGATATCTGGAAAAAAGTAGATGCAAGCTGAAATCAAATCATAGCCAAGTAGTGAAATGAAACAAAATCGTAAATATGAAATCATCAGATATACATACCACTAAATTCTAAGAAGAAGAATCAGGATGCTTCGAAAGAAGATTTCCACATAAACAACTGCCAACCAAGTGAGACCAGATAATCTGATTCTCTTGCAACCAGTGATTTAACTTAAGCTTGCAAGAAACATCGACAAGGACCACATAAGCCAAATCTCAATGACTAAAGGCTTCAACTACGCTTTAATTTGTGGAGTTCTTGTAGTATCTCGGGTGCTACTAGATTTGGTTCTCACTTCAGTAGAACCAAATGTTTCTAAAGCCTCCAAAAAGAACCTTTTATTTGGAACAATACCCTGTTCATCCATATGCTTTAGCAGATTATTAATAAGCTCCTTCATGTTAGCTTTAGCATAGGCCTTGTAAAGTAATTTGTAGGTTGAAGCATTTGGCACCAAATTCCTTTTAATTGAATAATCCAAAAGCTGATCGGCTTCATAGGGCAAACCATTCATGCAGTATGCTTCAAGCATAGCATTCAAAGTCGAAATTTGTATCTCCTTTTGTGTGCTTATCATCTCATCAAAAATCTCTCTAGCTTTTGAAACACAATCACAGTATCCATACGTTGTCATAAGGCACTCATACGTGATATAACTCGGTTTGAAACCTAAATCAACCATCTTCTTCAAAACATATTCTGCTTTCTCTTTAAGCCTAGCCTTTCCATAGTTTGTTATCATTGAATTGAATGTAGGAAGAGTTGGTTTCTCCTTTGAGCGCAACAAGCTTTTAAATACTTGCTCCATTTTATCAAATGCTTGTCGCCGTCCATATGCATCGATGAGAAGATTGAATGTAATAGAATCTGGCTTGCACTGGTTGCTTTTCATGCGCAGAAGTACAGCCTCCATTTCTTTGAGCATCCCATTCTTTCCATATGCATCCATGACACCATTGTAAGTATAGACATCAGGAGAGATGATGCCTTCATCAAGATCTTTGAACAATGCCTCCACCTGTTTTACATCCCCAGCCTGAGCAAATGCTCTTAGAAGAATGTTGTATGTCACAATGTTGGGTCGACATCTCTCAATTCCTTTCATTTTCTCAAAGTACCCAATGGCTTTCGCTAAGGCCTTAGACTTATCTCGTGAATGAAGATGTGCCGTAATCAATGCATTGTACACAGAAGTGTCCGGCCTGCACCCACTATTTCGCATCTCAGAAAAGAGCCACATGGCCATCCTTGTCTGGCCTTTTTTACCCATCACAGATATTAACTTTGAATAGATGCCGTTATCAGCAATATACCACCGTTGCTTTTGCATCCATCTGAACACCTGATCAACATAATATAAGGCATAAAAGATTTTGACTGTTTAAACAGCAGGTGTTTATAGATAACCATACAACATGCGAGTAATCCCACATGCTTATTTCATTAGACCCAGGTAAATAACTTAATAGGATAAGGATATAATGAATACTGCTTAACAATAAGTATCTTGGACTGCAACTAAAGTACAAGCAGGGAACTCCAACATAAAAATGATATATTTTGTTAAAATAAATATCTTAGTTTTACCATTTATTCTAAAAGAAGAAATAATCTAAATACACTTTCGTGGACATTTCCAGTATATTCTAAAGAAAAAAGCAAAACAGTTACCAATTGACATTCTAACAGAATTTAACAGATCTTCTTCAGACATGTAAATTGCAAATTCAGCAAAACTCCACTGGTTCTAATCAGATCAAAGTGCTAACTAGTTTGCAAATCATGCGAGCACAAGCAATAATCTTTTTGTTTGGAGAGGAGACTGTCATTGGCCTTCTCCCATTTTTTGTGTGCCGATCTCCAGGGCACAGGGTGTACTCGTTATCTCGCTTAATATAGTCCTTTCTTTTGGAAAAAAAAAAAATCAGATCAAAGTTTGAAAAATATACCATAGTCATGTTCTATATCTTCATATTGAGAATAATCTGGAGCATGTCACTTTTCCAATATAATCAGTGGAAACATGTTGCAACTGAAAAAAGTCATAAATGCATGCATTATGATGCAGAGTCATACAAACATAGCCTAATCATTTAGAATGCAAAGTATGCCTATGGGAGTACTTCACCAAACGCGGGCAAATACTTCACCAAACAACTCAATGTCACAACAAAAGAGCAAGAAAGAAGGAAAGCAGAAACGTAGGTGTCATGCATCTCCTAGGAGTATCAAAGTCCAATCTTTTATCAACATAACACAACTATGGCGAAAAGACTCGATTGGGTCGTAATGCATGAGGTCCAGAAGCACCAAATTCGAATCTTTCGTCAAAAGCTAATCACATTTCCGTCTTCATAGGCCAGTTAACCATAACCCAAAAGATCCGAGAGACAAGCAAAAACCCACCTCTAAGCACTGGAGCCAGTTGTCTCGCTTCCCGAGTTCCTCGAAGAGCAGGAAGCAGTGCTCCGTCCGGACAACCCTGACGAACTTGCTGAGCGTGACGACCAGAGGCTCCTTCCCATCGCCGGATTTCCGTAGCACCACCCGCACGAGCTCCGCCGCCTCGGAATCGTCTCTGCTTTTGGGGGCGGACCTCCTCCTCGGGCGGGTGGAAACGGAGCCCGCCGCCTCGGAGGCGTCTCTGCTTTTGGGGGCGGCCCTCCTGCTTGGGCGGGCCGAGACGGATCCCGCCGCTTTGACAACTGCGAACCAGGGTTTGGGGCGGGAGAAGTGGAGAGGCGAAGGATTCGGGAATTGGAGGGGGCAGAGCGAGGCCGGACGGATTAGGGGCATCGCGAGGGGTCGAGGAGGAGATCGGGGGCGTACCGAGGGGTCGAGGAGGATGATCGGTTTGGGTGGGCTACTTTTGCTGAGGTAGCGAATGTTTGTTACGCGTTTATTACCCACTTTCTATGTGATTCGGCGTGAGCAATGGGACCCACCCAACATCTACAATCACTATACAGGTGGGGGAACGGAGCCGTACGCGAAGAGATTGAACTTGGGTCGATCCCGCGTCCTCATGTGCAACCCAGGTGGGCCCCAGCATGCTCCTCCAATGCGTGTTTCAACGAATGGAGAGACTGGATCGATCGATATGAGATCGGACGGTTAAAAAAAAAGGTAAGAAGGTTTTACCATTAAAATAAAAACAATAAAAAGTCACGGGATTTGAACCCGACGTGAATCGAACACGCAACCTTCTGATCTGGAGTCAGACGCGCTACCATTGCGCCACGGATCCGAATTGATTCTCTTCTCAAAACATAAAGTAATAATAATATTTTCATAATCCTAATTACCTTCTTTGCATCACCAAATTACATTATTAATGCATTCTCACGAATTATTGTTCAGAAAAAATTAATTATTTGCATTTTTCGATATAAAGTATTCGCATAAATGAAGGTTATACATGCATTATTGAGCCATAGTCTTCTTGTTGACACAGCTATAAAGCAACTGTAATCTGAGACATTATTCTTATTGTAGGCAACAGTTACATGAGCAAAGCCGTAAGCACTGAGAGATTAGCAGCCTACACATCTGAAATGCTCCAAAGCTTGCAGAAGATGCCAAGGCTCCTCTTCAATCTTGCCTCTTCCATGATCAGAGGCTGCCTTCGTGAAACAAGAAGAAGAAGAAGAAGATGATGATGGCATGGTTATACGCAGTCTCTCTGAGGAGAGAGAGATGGGGTATGATATCTTTGCATGGCATGGATCATGTCTTGAACTGCACCGAAATTTGTGCAAGGCGCAGCTGCAGTTACGATGATACGGCCTCCTCCGGATCTCCGAATCGAAGGCGGAGATGCAGCCATCAAGAACACATCTAATCCATCCCTCAGCTCCTGCTGCCATCTCCCTCTCCTCCCCAGAGTCTCGATACCCGTAGGTGATGGTGGGAGCATCACGTTGAGGCTCTTTATGTAAGAGAACCAGAGGTGGCCGTGAAGCATACGTGATGGTTGACTTGGACAGTCTTCAGCATTACCAGCCGCTATGAACTCTTGTTCAACTTGGAAGTTTGACCTTCTGCAGTAGTCATCTCAAAATGCTTGAGTTGGCTTAGCAAACAGACGCCTGTTGTTTATGATTTTCCTGTTATATTTAATGCATATTTATAAAATGATTTCTTTATCTTAAGTTCATGACGTCAAAACCTTTGTGCAATGCAAAGCTAGAAAGAAGACCTTTGACAACCTCAATCGATGACTTTTGGTGCGGAGGGTCAACTTTGTTGTGCCTCTTTGACTATTCCAAGGAGTTGCATTTGAAATTATTACGGCACTTGCACCATAAATTTGACCAAGTGAAAGGAAGCGTTCATCATGTCACAGTAGCTATAATAATAATAATAATAATAATAATAATAATATTATTATTAATAATAATAATAGCACTTTCCTGAAACAGAGCCCAAATCAGGCCCAAATGTGATGCCAAATTGAAATGGCCCAGTACAAAGCAGCCATTCTATTGAGTCGGGTTCGTCGGGGGGTTGAGGTGAGGTGACGCTCTCCTCGAGAGGCAAAACCCTAATCGCGATGGCTCTCCGTCTCAAGCCGAAGCCCAAAACGCTAGTCCCACTTCGCTCCCTCCGCCCCTTCTCTTCCTCCTCCTCCCCCCCGCCGCCGTCCGATTCCGATGCGGAGAATGAGACCTCCAATTCGGCGGCCGTGCCCCCGTCGCGCCCTTCCTACTCCTCCTACTTCAGCGAGATCAAGGAGCGGCTCAAGGCCCCTCCCGCTCCTCCCCGCCGGATCCCGGCTGACCCCCCTCCGCCGCCGTCCCTCTCCTCTCCTAACTCCGGCCCCGCTACCTCCCTCGAGGATATCCGGAAGCACTTGGCCGGGTTCCGCCTTCGAGCCGGCGGAGCCGCCCCTCCTGCGTCCGGCGACCGCCCCGCGTCCTCGCCCCCCATATCCTTTCAGGAGCTCTTCAAGCACAATGTACTTGGCAAGGCCGGTGGTGGCGTAGAGGCTGCTGAGAAGGGCGAGAAGGGCGAGAAGGGCGAGAAACTATCTTTTGACTCCATCCGCGAGAGCCTCCGCCAGTTCAGGTCCTCGTCGAGGGAGCATATGGGATTGCGCGGGAGGGACGGACCCTCGCGGAGCTCTTTCAGCCTCGAAACCTTCCAGGACAGCTTCCGGGGTCGAATGGGAGGGACAGAGAAAGGTCCGTCCATCCTCGGAGGGGAGAACTTGCCCGATTCTATATTCGGGAAGGAGATGAGGGAGAAGGAGGCTGGCGAGTGGGAGCAGAAAAAGGTTCTGAAGACGGAGTTCGTGAAGATGTATAGCTACAACGAGTTAGGCGAGAAGCTCCGCAAGCTGAGGCCAGAGGACGCTTCCAAGGCCAACAAGGACTGGTTCACACTGACGGAGTTGAACGAGAGGCTTGCAAAGCTAAGAGAAATGGAGGAGAAGGAGACGGAGTCAAGGATGGGCGGGGTCTCGTTCAGGGATCTCCGAGAAAGCCTGGTGAGGCTCAAGGAAGCAGATGCCAATAAGAAAGCCAACGGTATGGCCTCCTTTGATCAGTTCGCTCTTTCTTTTCTTCCTTTAATCTTTGTAATTAGGAATTAATGTATGTTTGTATCTGAACAGTTCAGAGGTTGTCGATTATTGCAAACCTTACTGGGCAAGCCACACCAACATTCATGCTAAAACCCCCACAGGAACATTTGTTGGAGAGGGTGAATAGTAACTATTTTAGCTTAGTCTCCTGGCCCCATTTGTTGATTTGGCATAGCCTATGTGTGTAACACTTTTAAGATTTTGTTTCTTGCAGTATTTTCATCCAGATCACATGTCTTCAGCAGAGAAGATGAAGCTGGAGCTCAAGCGGGTTCGAGATGAATTTAAAATGTCTGAATCAGATTGTGGCTCTGCGCCTGTTCAAGGTATGGAACAGTGAACTAAGATGCCTCAAGCCTTTTACAAAATATTGACCATAGATTGATATGCATGAGAATGTTTCAATGCTTCATGTGGATCATTAAGGGAGTATGATCAGTTCAATTTTGTGCATTGTGGGATAGCAATTTCCACCTTTCATCTTTAAGGCGATTGAGTGATGCAAAGAAACAGTCAGAGAAAAAGGTCCAAAATTAACAGGTTTTGTCACAAAATAAAATAGCTAAAAGAAAGAGAACAGCTTGTCACATAAGAATCTTGTGGTTCTACTTTAAAGATAATAAATGATAGTCGTCTCTACTTATTTGTGGATGATTGACAAATCATTTGCCTTTTGAACTCATAAAGGAGTTCATATAGGATAATGCTTATCATAAGTGCTTTGCTCCAAAGTGGTATCATCTTCATGGGATTCTTTATGAGCAAAAAAGTAAGATGACTTCATAAAGAAAGAATACTTAGTGAGACCATTGGCTTATAATTGTACCATCTTTTTCAATTTTACTTTTCCTTTTGTTCAAATGTTTTTTATGTATATTTATTTATTTTTGTTATGTTTACATGAAAAAACCAAGTCTAATTTTGATAATACTTCCATGAAACCATCTAGATGCTATCTCAAAGTTTGATCTTTTGCTTGCTGCGTATATAATCCATATTTTTTCCCTTCCATATGGAATCAACAAGAGATCAGATCCGATAAATGTACAACTGCCATTGAGGCTTAGCCCAACATCAGGTCAAACATGGGCTGGAATTTGGTATTTTAAGAGGAAAAGTTTTGACATTGTAAGGGTTGTCAGTAATGCTCAGGAGAGTGAGATTTTAAGTGGGACTCAAGAAAGAGGGCAAGGAAGTGGTAGGGAAGAGCATGAATGACTGTGAGTTCAATAATTTCCTTGTGCAGCAACGAGTGCAAGAGAAATGTATTTATTCATGGTACTGCAGCAAAACACACCAGGGGCATAGTACTCACCAAAGCCAACAATATGCTCCTATGATGTTGATATCACAAGCAATCTTATGGCTGGAGGTGATGGAAACAATGGGTGGGTCGGTAATGTGGAGATCACGGGAGTCCAACTCATATGTAGCATGATGACAGTTTTAGAAGGGAATGTGCACGGAAGGAATCCTAATTATCAATGGAGTTGGGAAACAGGGGATCAAAATATTTTTGTGTATTTTTTTTTTGATTTTTTGCAGTTGAATAGGGTCTAACTGTTTCAGGCATACAACATCTTAATCTGAACATGATCCTTTTTAGGTTGTATTATGATCATCCAACCTAATCACTGAGACTATGTTGTATAGCCACAATGATCCGTCAGTTAAATCCCTGTTTCTACTTATCATAAATGACTGAGTAATCCTGTAGCATAATTGTTGGTACAAAGAGGTACTTTTTTCGCCAACATTCATCTTCCAATTGAAAAAAATTTGAAGCAACACTTGAAATTCTCATTAGAGAAGTTTAACCTGTACATACATTCAAAAACTTTTTAATTATTAGACATAGGCAGCGCTCAACAGTGTAACAGTTGTAGTATTTTATTATTATTTTTGGAAGAGAATATATTGCATTTCAGTTTGTCAAAAATCTAGAGAATTGGTTTGATCGTACCCAGTAAATTCTTTCTTAAGAGAAGAGTGTGGGCAATCTTAATACATTTAACTTGGTGTGAACCAGTATTGCTTGATAAGGCCAGTGTGTATGACAACATCGCTGATCTTTCCTGGTAATTCAGACATTTGTCAACTCCTTATAAGTGGACTCAACTTTCCAGATTCATAGGAGGGTCTAGGGTTCGACGCTTATATCCCTTTGCTGACTTTTTTTTGGGTCTATTTTACTCATCTTTTTGGGTGGAAGTCCAAGTATGAACTTTCTGTGTTTGTGGAGTTCCTGGCCATGCCTCTGTAATATAGTGGTATAGTGCTGAAGTGCTTTGTCTTTGTTTTTGCAGTGGCACAACTTACCACCAAAATTAAGCACCTCAACACAGTCTTACCTAAGAAGGTAACAATTAGCGATCTGGAGTTGTCTTCAACTCTCATTCTTTCATATTAATATCCCATGTTTTTTTAATGTTTGTATGCTTTATTTGTTTATACGAGTTCACGTTTGCTTGCGATGCAGGACAAGCACTCCAGAAAGGGACTACAGCAGATGATCCAGAGAAGAAAGAAACTTCTCAAGTATCTCAGGAGGACAGACTGGGATTCTTATTGCCTTGTGCTGTCAAAGCTCGGCCTCAGGGACGTCCCCCCTAACAGTAAAGCCAAGTATAAGAACTAGACCTTTCAAGTTCCAAATGAGAGAACCCTAGATTAGATTCTAGTACTAGACCTTTCCTGCTCGTTGGAATGGATGAGATATTTATTCATTTGGAAGGCAGCAGGATGGTACTTCTAAACTGCTCCGTGGCATGACATGCATCCGGATATTTGGAGGAACGATCGAGTCATTGTTTTCTAAGTTTTTGTTGTTTTGTTCGGAACAGCACATTGAAATTTGCTTTTGTAATAATGATGAGATAACGAATATTTTACTCATAGTGGATCATAAATTTTGCTTTTAACTAAGCAGAAGTGTAGCTGCGGAATCAAATTAGAACTGGTTTGTTTTCGAGGTATTCAGTTCAGCTTTCTTTTCTTTTGTGCAATCGAGTGCCACTCGATGCTCGCTTTTTTAGTTCGTTTTCCATGCATTTCTTCGTTCATATATTGAAATTTTTTATTTTATTTTTTGAAAAAGTAACAGAGTTTTAAGTGAATTTTTTATATTTTTAATATCTTAAATATCTCTTCTCGTTGTTGATGATGTGGTTGAAGCGACATTGACATGATCGAGATGGCCACGACGGGTGAAAACGGTGAGGTTTTACATATGGGAAGGAGGCGATTACGATAAATGACAACGGAGCGTCACAAAACATACATAAAATTAAAAACTAATTTTTTTGTATTTTTTTTAAGTTTTAATATTTATTCTAATACTAATTCTGGAATTTTACCTCTAAAGAAACACAAAACCAACCCCACCATAATCTCATCAAAACCAACTTTCTCGTGGCTCTCATGACTTTTGCATATCTTGAATTTATATCGCAAGAATATCTTACATTTATGTCTTCGCCCATTTTTGATTTGAAGATTATTTTGAAATAATAGCTCCGTTGACTTTTACATGTCTTGAATTTATTCTCCAAGAATATCTCACATTCACATTTTCACCCATTCTTCATTTAAGATTATTTTAAAATAATAAACAATTTAACTTTTACATGTCTTCGAATAATAAACTATCTCACATTCACATCCTCACCCATTCTCGATTTTGAGATTATTTTGAAATAATACTATTTTGACTGTTATGAGCATACTATCACATATTTATATCCTTACTCATTCTCGATTTTAAGATTATTTTGAAATAATAACTCATTTAACTTTTGCATGTCTTGAATTTATACTCTAAGACTATCTCTCATTTACATCCTCACCGTTTCTATATTTTGAGATTATTTTGAATTAATGATTCTTTTAGTTTTTGCATATCTTGAATTTATATTCCAGGAGTATCTCACATTCACATCCTCACTCATTCTTTATTTTGATATTATTTTAAAATAATGACTCTTTTGACTATTATTTGTCTTCAGAAGACACAATTATTTCCTCACTCATTCTCGATTTTAAGATTATTTTAAATTAATAATTCTTTTAACTTTTGCATATCTTGAATTTATGCTCTAAGACTATCTCACATTCACATCCTCACCTATTCAAAAGATAAGCTAATCTTTTGAAGCTTATCTTCCTTCCAGGAGCTGAATACTAAGCTTACTGGCTTTAGGTTATAGCTAATAAAAATACTAAACCATTTTAAAAAATTAAATGTTATTATAAATTAACTTTAAAAATAATGATGAACCCACTGGACAACTGCACCAAAATCACTCTCTCTGGAACAAGAAATATGCATCTTTGATGTAATGTAACATATTCTGCTTTGATCTATAGTAAGAGCAATGTTTGGACTGTCAGTAGAGAGAGTCTATATTACACATACTATATCAACTCCCTAAGTTTAATCACAAATGCAACAATGTCAGCAACCATACCTCATCCCATTTTTCTTGGTCTCAACTAAAATTAACAGTCAGCAGAGAGTCTATATTACACATACTATATCAACTCCCTAAGTTTAATCACAAATGCAACAATGTCTGCAACCATACCTCATCCCATTTTTCTTGGTCTCAACTAAAATTAACAGTCAGCAGAGAGAGTCTACATTACACATACTATATCAACTCCTTAAGTTTAATCACAAATGCAACAATGTCAGCAACCATACCTCATCCCATTTTTCTTGGTGTCAACTAAAATTAACAGTCAGTAGAGAGAGTCTATATTACACATACTATATCAACTCCCTAAGTTTAATCACAAATGCAACAATGTCTGCAACCATACCTCATCCCGTTTTTCTTGGTCTCAACTAAAATTAACAGTCTTGAAAAATCAATCAAAACTTGCCTTCAGACTTTATCATTTGCAAGAAGAAAAAGCAATCTTATGATGAAGCCTTCTATAACTAAACTGATCCTCAAACTTCAGCTTATCTCAACTGATGAAATAATAATAATAATAAAAGATATTTTGAAATGTAATCTATTTTCTCGTCAACAACAGATTGCACCTTGATGACAATGGCTGTAGACACCAGTAAAACTCATCCCTATGTCACTATGTGTATTGGTATCATATCAAACAGAGACCAAGATATTGAGTTCAGAAGCATCATAGCCACACCAATACTATCAATCAGAGTGCAATAAAGTTCCATAACATTAATGGAGCAAAATCGATAACAAGTAAAACAATCTACTAAAAGGAGACGGAAGGGAACGGACGCCACCTAGGAGTCCTCAAAACCCTAACTTGGTGCGGCGCCAGTGCCTGCGCTTCGCGTTGTACCTGGAGAAACCATTAAAGACACCACCTTTAACCGACCTGGAACCAGGGAGAGCAAAGAAAAGAGAGGAATTCAAAGAAAGCGACGACTTTGGTCGCGTAAAAGGGAGCACCTGATGGTGTTGTCGGTCCTCATGCGGATCCAGTGGGGGATCGGCCTGTTCTGGCGCATCTTCTTCGCCAGCTTCTTCTTGATCCGGAACGTCTTGTGCGACGGCTAACAAGGAAGAAAGGAGAACAAAACCAAAACCACAATCACATCGGATCGAAGCAAAATCGCAGAGAATCGAAACCCTAATCTAGGAACACACCATTCCTGCGGTCGATGCGGAGTTCGGCGGGAGCGACGACCAGGAGACCGAGAAGCCCTAGGGTTCGATGCCCATCTCCTCTTTTATAGCCGGGAGACCGTCGTAGAAGCCCGTTGGGTTTGAGATCGAGTCGAGTCGGGCTCATCAAATGGGTCACATCGAACCATGACACTAATACACGAATAATTCAATTATATAAAAAAATAAATATTTGATTAAGTAAATTATTTTATATTATTTTTAATAACATATCCACACTATACCAAACCATTTCAGGAACACTATGCTTTGCTTTATTTATTTTTTATTTCGTTCGTGTTAGAATAAATTATCATGATTCAATCTAATACTTGAGTTTAAATATGATTCATCCGATGCAATGAGTCTAAATTTAATTTTATATATGATCATAGAGGTTATAATGTGTGGATATCCCATTTTCTTATCCGTATTTATTTGTCACATCATTTTCATATAGTTGACATGTCACTTTTTCAATCTAATTTGTTTGACATATCATGTAGGATTAGAGCTTTAAATTAACTATATATCATGTGACTTTACACCACCATGAGGGTCGATTTAGTTCAAAAGTAATTACACACATATATATACACGCACACATATATATATACATACATACATACATACATGTATATACATATATATATATACACATATGTGTATATATATATAT